GCCACTGAAGATTTAAGTATACACAAAAATTAATTTATGCTAATCGAGTCACACATGAACCGGAATCATAGTGCAAAATTTCATTTTCCCTGATTGCTAAAGTAAAAGTAGATGAAAGAAATCTGAAAGTTCACATCTACTCCCTCTATGTCCGCCTGCATGCCTTTATGCTAGCAAAATAAATAAACATACTGCTTGTGAAAAAGCAAAGATGTATGTAGAGATGAGAAAAATTCGAATAAACTTCAGTTCGTGAATGGGGGTGGTACTGGTGAGAGCCCAGTGCTGGACACCAAACATAATAGTTATATTAATTAATGTTAGAGTCGATAAGGACATATTCAGCCAGAACAGGATGTGAGAGATTTGGCTCGCTGTCGACGGAGTACCAATATATCTCACCGGGCCAAATGCTTCCGCAAGAAAATCCGGAAGCGATATAGCCCTGCAACAAACATTCTGACAGCCTAATGGTAAACCAATGTGCTCTAGGTAAATAGTTTGCTTTTTAACAGTTCATTAACTTTAACTGAAAGTCCAGCTTTCGTCTTGACGATTCCTTCAAATCTTCCCTGTTTTCAATAATTTGTATGCATTTCTGCTGTGCAGCTCTATAGCGTTGCTTCAGCCAGCAAAAACGCATACTGTTGAGAAACTATCCGAGCGTGTGTGTTCGAAAGCGAGTGCATTCTGTCACTCACTTTTGTCTCAGCAACCAGGAAAGCTGGGAGGCTGAAACTTTGGATATATGTTCCTAACCCATGTGTCATCCCTCCATTTTAAGATCTTTCCCCATACGCGCCTAGACACCGCGTACGGAACCCCAAAGAAATATGTTGGCGGGAAACGATTTCGCGAACCAGGCAAGGTAGAAAGCTTAAAGCTTAACTTGTGCGTCCACCTTCATCCCAACTGCCGCTTTTCCTCCTGCATACCGGAAAGGATCGAAGCACCGCCAATATGATCGAAGTGTTGGGCTACAGCGTAGGGATCATTTCTGCTAATAGCGATCAGCTAGTTTAGTGTAAAAAAGCATGATCGCACCGGAGAGCATGGTACGTTCCAGCCTGGGTTGCATATTATACAAATGCAAAAACGCACATTGGCAAGAGGCTGTGTGTGTGTCAGTGTTGGCGTGCTCGCACTTTTTGTCACTCCTCCAACTCTACAGCCAGGAAATCCAAAAAGTTGAAAATCTCGGAATAAATACCCACACCGTTTTAATATTATCGTTCGCGTGTGTCTGAGCCCCACATATGAACACTTCAAATAAACATGGGGTTTTTTTGGCGGGAAGCGATCTTGAAAATCAGATAAGACAGAGAGTTGAAACTTTGCAGGGATATTCTCTGTGCATTTGCGAGCTAAATGTTTGCATGCATAAGCTATAGTTTTCAAATTAATCTATCGCGCGCGTCTGCTCCATAATTTCGCAGCGGCACTGTGCCAATTTGAAAATTAGTCCGCAAGCGGTAGCTGAAAATTTGTTAGATATTAAGTCGTCCATCTCGGAAATCGCATGCATAAGTGGAGTTTTGAACTATGCTTGGCCACCCATTAGGGCGCGTTAAAGGTACTTATTAGCGACGAAGTGATTTCGCTTGCTGTACAAGCTGCGAAGTTGAAAATTCGTAGTTATTTTCTGTGCTCATATTTCGTCTTAGTTCAACTTTGAGACAAAAACCCCTTCACATGGGCACAACAAACAATCAGTTTTATCGCAAACTAATGCATTTTGCGAATTTCGTAATTCTTCTATCTCGGAATCCCATGCACTGTCAATTTTGCATTTTTTGATGGCTGATCGTGCACCGAAAAACCGACCGGCTTTATGCAAAAATGAAGTCTTACACGCTGGAGATCCACGCGGCCCTATGATGCAACAATTCCGTCTTAGCCGAAGTCCTTTTACCCCCGCATGCAGGAAAAAGTCAAAACACAAGAGTCGACTTGTTGAGAAACACTATAAGAACCATACCTAACGATTTGTTAACGATTTGATCACCACAAGTTCAGCACAAAAAGAAATGAACGCACCGGCAAGCCTGGGGCGCTGCAGCCATCGATTAAATAATCTATCTAGGCGTGCTTCAGACAGTAGTCAGTAGTAGTGCTCTCTTCTGAAAGTCAGAGTCTCCATCATTGAGACAAACGGACTCCCTACGATTCGTTCATTCTTTGGAAAAGTCAATCAATCAAAACAATCACCAACTTCCCTTTTAGTAAAACATGAAAAAGAGCGCCATATTCAGCTTTGCCAGTTTGGTAATTATTGCTACTCAGCCTCCGCTTACTACGGAGAGTAAGCGTGGAGTATTGAACTGACCTGCTCTGTAACAGCATCGTTATCAGCGCGCGAACGATGGCCATAACGGCAATATTTGCCTTCAGAAACGCGAACTCATTAAATTTCACCGGTGTTTTTGTGAAAATCATATAAAGCAGCAAAGCATTGAGAGTTAGAGATAAGGGACCAATGGTGTAGACGAATACAAGATGTATTATACGAAATATCTCGTTTGATTCGATAATATTCATCTCTGAAATGGCATCATTGTTCACTCTTGTTAAGGCACAGTTTCAGTGCCGGAACAAATCTGCTTACTCCCAACTAACAAATAAGAAAATATTTACACCTTTCCATTACTTGCGTGCAGCGCCTCTTCATAGCCCGCTGAGTCTCGAGCTCTCATTCTCCTTCGTACTGCTCGTTGAAACGCGACTCATTTGTAGCTACTGAAATTTCTTTCTAGCTTACAGTTTTTCAGCATTGGCTTTTTCATGACTTACAATGGTCACGAAAAAACAGTGCTGAAAGGCTGTCAGCTAGAAAGAAATTTTAACTGGCGTAAGGTACGTTACGCATATTCTGTAGACGATATAGGCAGTTTATAAGCCCGGGCTGGAGCAAACCAGGGTTGTCGGTACGATCATGCTTTATTACACTAAACTCGCAGATCGCTAATAGCAGGAATAATCCTTGCTCTGCAGCCTAAAACTTGGGCTCACGTTGGCTGTGTAGTGCCTCTTTCCGGAATGCAGGAGGAAGGGCGTAGGTTGGGGTAAGGGTGGTGCATTATGAGGCCGCACGGATCTCCACGTACATGATTACCAGTTTTTTGCGTGAAGCTTGGTCATTTTTATGCGTTTTTGCTTATTATGCGTTTTTGCTGAGCAGA